CCCCTTTCAGGTGAAGGCTTCCATGCTAAGATCGCCCACCCTCGTGAAAGGCTACGTGGCCGTTTTTGTATGCTTCACGACAAAAGCGGTTCACCTTCAGTTGTGCTCGAATTTAACTTCAGAGGCCTTTCTGGCTGCATTTGCTCGCTTTGTTGGCCGGCGAGGCTATCCCGCCACCATGATGAGTGACAACGGCAAAACCTTTGTCGGTGCCAAAAGAGCCACTGAGAAGGAGTTTATCACCTTCTCGAAAGAAGTATCCCAGGAAATCGTCAAAAAATATGCCGCTCAAGGTATAAACTGGAAATTTATTCCCCCCAGCGCCCCTCATATGGGTGGTTTATGGGAATCCGCAGTCAAAAGCTTCAAAACGCATCTCAAGAAGACTGCCGGATCACATAAATTCACTTTCGAAGAGTTTACCACCCTATTAATTAGAATAGAAGCCGTGTTAAACTCACGACCCATCTCTCTCCCCTATCTCAGGACCCCTCAGATTTTACCGCACTCACCCCGGGCATTTCCTTAAGGGATCCCCCCTGTTGTCTCTTCCTGAATCGAACCATGAAAACTTATCTCTACTCAATCGGTGGGAAAAGGTCAAAGTTCTACACCATCAGTTTAGCCGACGATGGAAAGAGGACTATCTCAAGGACCTGCACAAACGGCACCGATGGAAAGACACCCGTATTGAGCCGAAAGTCGGCGAGTGCGTCCTCATCAACGACGATACGCTTCCGCCCACTGAGTGGCGCCTCGGACGCATCTAAAGGACACGGCCCGGCCCCGATGGCCACATTCGTGTTGTCGAGGTACGCACTCAAACCGGCATTCTCACACGGCCGATAGTTAAATTATGTTTTTTGCCACCGGCCGAACTTCCACTCAGTCCCAATGCGACCGAGTAACCCTACACCATCATCATGATTCTGTACCACTTATGCCACAAACCGCTTGATCGTAAACTTGTCTCGCCTTCAATCACCATACGCGCCTTTTCCCCAAAATAACAATTATATACTTCTCTGTCTCAGGACCCACGATACTCGATATACGTCCCACTAAAATTATACATCAACACAACTATTTACAGGCGTGAATGGATTCAGCACCCACACCAGCACCAAGAACTTCACTCCGCTCGCAGGTGTTTGTGGCCGCTAGCGACCGCGAGGGGCGCCCAAACCCTGATTATCAGAAGTGCCGAGTTTGCGCGCGTCACCACGCGCTACGAACATGCCCGCTCTTTAGAAGGATGCAGCCAGCGCAGCGGTACTTGTTGGCGCGGGCCCATAACTACTGCACCAACTGTCTGGCACTGTCGCACGCTACCAGCGAATGCACATCCCAGATCACGTGCAGGATATGTGCACTGCCGCACCACACGATGCTTCATCGGGCCCCGCCGCCACCACAGCCACATCGCCGTACCACCGCACCTCCAACTCAAACACCTCCGACACCGGCCTCCCGCTCAAACGCTCGCGATCGTCGCAACCCACCTACCCAGGCCGCTACCCATCGCTACAATCCGACTGCAGCCACCATTCCACAACCACGCACCGTCAAACGTTCGGCAACAGGGCTCCATACCGCTGCATTCCGAGAAAAGATGGCAAATCGGCTAATGGATGAGGCCATTAGAGCGCTGGAGCAGTTGAAAGTGGCACTAGCCGTCTAGCGCGCCTAGGCGGGGCAGGATGTTCAAGTGAGTGACTAGCGCACGCACACCGCATTAACCAATTGTATTTATTGAATTAGCTAGACTTGAAATATTTCTACGAATTGTAACTTTTGAACTCATAAAAATTAACTCGCACCGAATTACCTTCCGCATCTTCGGTCTGCCCGAAAATTTGTAACTCGAAGCAAAATTAATGAACGCGAATTGAATACGAACCAAATAAACCTGCGTTGTTCTCAAACTAAATTGAAATCAGTTCGGTGTTTTTATTTCGTTGAGCCTACCACAACTTAACAAAACGGGCGTTGAAACGGTCGCTCTAGTAATAGTGCCCTATTAGTGCCACCACGTTCCAGCCGCTGTCGTTTGCGTGTCCCCGTGCTCCATCCGGAGCGTCCTTAGTGCGAAAACGTCCGGCAGTGCCGTACAGCCGCCAGCTACACGCCGACGTCATTCCAACATTTCCAGACTGCCTTCAGCGCCGCCCAGGAAAATCAACCCATCGCTCCCGGTTGACCACACCACCTGGCCAGCAACCCCCAGGCATTGGCCGCTCCGCCGCCCACAACTAACACAGGCCCCCAAGCCCTGCGTGTTCCAATTATAAAGCCTTTGTTAAGGTTATTTTTGCTTTTTTTTCGTTTTTATTGCGAAGCCAGTTAGACACGATACACTACTTCCATTAGGCAGACGTGGAACTTTTTGCGAAACTCGTGTCCTATTTTTCGTGACATTTCGCAATTTTGCAGGTACTTTTCGGTTGTTTTGAGATTTATTCGGAACATTTCCCAAAAGTTTCGGTAATTTTTGGAATTTTTTTTAGGACTTTTCAGTGCTTTTTGGAATGAGTTCAACAATTTTTGGTATTATTCGAGATCTTTTCGAGTACTTTCAGGAAATCTCACTGTTGCTACGCGATTTTTTACAAGTTTTTTTCTCCGTACTTTATGGAACCTTTCATTCCCATTTGCTTTCTTTTTATACAACAATAGAATGAAAATCTTTGAAAATTTCCAAGTTTTTACGACACTTAAATATTTTTCCGGGACCGTTTAGGAGCTTTTTACGACGGGATTCCTCCTGTTTTACTTTTCTGAAAGCTTTGTGATTTTTTTTCGAATTTTTTGGGATACTGGTGCTCTATTTTTCGATTTTTATTATGTTTCGCGATTTATTCGAAACATTTTGGGATTTTTTCAAACCTATTCCGGAATTTTTCAGTTTTTCCTGAACTTCTCTAGATTTATAAGGATTTTACGGAAACTTTCAGGCCCAAAATTATATTTAGGTCTTTACTTTCCTTCCCCACAAACATTTTCTAGACTTAGAAATTTTTTCGGCGCAGCTTATATGCTTTTCATGTTCTCTCGGGAATCTTCGCGTTTTATTCTTCGGAATTTTTTGGGAACTTTTGCCATTTTTCCGAACTTTAGGATACGTATAGGAATTTTCGGTGCTTTGTGACTTTTGTACCATTTAAGATTTCTTCATTGAATATTAGCTTGGGAGCGTGGAGGAATTTTTAATGACTTTTCGGGATTTTCGGAAACCTTTGCGATTTTTCGGAACATTTCGGGAAAATTGGATTTTTTTTGCGTGACTTTACGGAACTTTTCTGCGTTGTTTTACGGACTTCTTCGGATTATTTCGGTTCTTCTATATTTTCTTTGGAAATTTCCAATTTTTGTTGGTACTCCTTCGCTACTTTTCGAGATTTTATCGGTACTTTTCAAGATTTTACGGGAACCTTAAGACCCAAAGTATATTTAAATCTTTTCATTTCCTGCCTTTTATTCTTGTCTCAAAAAAGGAAGAAAGGGCATTTACGAGCACTTTCGTGTCTCAGTCGGAGTCCTTCAGGAATTTTCGATATTTTTCGAGAACTTTTCGGGACTTTTCAGTTTTTCTTACGGAATCAATTAGAATTTGTTTTAGACTTTTTGGGATTCTCCCCAAAAAGTACATTTAATTACACTCTAAAAAGTGCATGTAAAACTACTACTGAAAAGTGTTTATTTTTCAACCAGAATCTGTTCAAGTATACGCACAAGATGTTCAACATTTGATTTTGAACATGAGTTGTTTAAAATATACACATGAAATGTTTAAAATTACAAACATTTTGAAAGTAAAAATATATTTTTTACAAATAATAAATACTGAGTGCCAGAGGCGCACGCATGAATATATTTTTGGGGGGAAGGGTTTATACTTCTAAATATATATCATCAGCAAATACCCAAAATTCGCTCTTTAAAATACATTTATGAAAGTTTTATTTACAGTATGAAATAAATAAATAAACTTTTTAAGTATCATCAATTGCATTTTATTTACATAAAATTTACAAAGAACTCAGACTATTTAAAACCGGCTTCAAAAAAGGGGAGGTTATCAATTCTTCGGAGTATTTTTACTTCTTTTATTTATTCCACCGCATAACTTTGCACCGCGTGAACCGATTCCAATAATTATTTTTTCTACCGGAAAGATGGTACCTTAAGGGTCGTCTCGTAATTTGGTTTAGATCCGATCATTGAATTATGAAAAAATTAACGGTTAAAGATGCACTCAACTTTCAAAAGTAATACAAAATTTTACAAAATAATTTTAATATAAATAATTTAAATAATTTCACGAAATTTTTACACTTTTTTATTTGTTTTCGTCGATTTCTGGTTTCTCATTTTTTAATACTTCGAATAACGAAAATTTAACTGAACTTGTATTTTTATCATGTAGCTCATTTTGGTGGAACGAATTCGAAGTTAGCTAATTAAATCTTCGAATGCTTATTAAGTACATATCAGTGGTAAACTTTTTTAGGCTGTAAAGTGTAAAAACCAACAGTAAGGGCCGGTTACTCAATGTCTGGTTAACACTAATCTCCGGTTAAACATAGTTATCGACGTTACCGACTCCCTGTTGTATGCATTGTGTAACCGGCCCTAAGTGAGTATACATTGCATATTTTTAAGACAATGTTTTCATTCGCAGTTAAACTTCAAAGAGCTCTCAAGAAAAAAGAAAAATTCTTACAAAATGACGCACAAGAAATGGAAAAGAAAATTTTTTCTATCAAAATTTCTTATATCATAATAAATTTAGCCCCAAAACCCACCCCTTGTGTGCGCTACGTGACAAATTTGATATTTAAAAGTAAACAGACAGTGTTTAATTTTGCACACACTAGGAGAGGAAACTGGTTACCTCTCTTTATATGCGTAAATTTAAACGAAAATTTTTTAGAGGAAATTTTAAACATTTTATGTGTAAACTGTGAAAATGTGAACAATAAATGTTTAAAACTCAAAAAACAAATTTGAAATTTGTTCTACGCCACACATATGATAAGTAAAAGTAAGCAAGCAGTGTTTAAATTTGCATTTATTAAGAGAGGAAACTGGTTACCTATCTTAATATGCGCAAATTTAAACAAATATTTTTTAGAGTGTAGCTATTTATTTTGATTTTTATAAATGCTTTAAGTGGAAATCACATTTGCCGGTTATTTTATGCTCAAAAAAGGCGAGGAACCCAAATAAGCCTTATTGATAAACCCTTTCTATTAGGACAACATTTGTCTGCATATTAATATGTAAATGAGCATACATATGTTTGTATGCATGCACCTATAGTACAACAACAAAATTCCAACATGCAACAATCGCTACACTTGGCTACTACTCAGTTAGTCAGTCAGTTGTTCATAAATCGTAGCCAACAGCTAAATTACGGCAACAATTTTCGACGTAACACGACCACAACAAAGCGACTGCTGAGATAATAGTAGATACATAAGTATGTACTCTTGCTCCAAGTGAGAACGAAGTTCTCACTGATGTAATTTGTAAAAACTTAAAAAAAATCATAAATATAAGCAGTTATCGAATATACTAAGAATCTACATCGAGTATGCGTAAAGAGAAAAAATCGTTTTTTATAAACTTTTTATAATCTTCATAGTAACCTGTGAATAGCCTTAACGAGTTCACTGAAAAAGAACTGCACATCCTTTACCAAAGCTCCATTTTTGAATCGTCCAAGATTCGAATTTCGTCACCGTTTAAAACGTTGCTAGGGGAGAGATTATAGAATTTTATGTAAAAATTTATATCAGGTTCAATAATCCATCCTCGTCGTCTAGTAATTGGCATCATGACGACAAACTGACAGACTATTAAGTGGCACTTTGTCGCATAAAAAAAGCGGAAATGCGAACGAGTTGGAGCTTTTGAAGTGCCGCACTCAAACAGCTACGCAAACAAGGACATAAACACGAGCTGTGAAGGCCTTCGCTTATGAACTAATATTAAGGGAAAATATCTTCCGTGTAGCTGTCTGGTGGAGAAGGTCCCAGAGGCCTTATTGGGGTACGGGACGCTTTTTATCGAAATATTTGAGATTAGCGTTTTGAAACCCGGGGACGTGGTCTTCAAACAATTTCTTTCTGTCGGCGGCTACTTATAGACTCAGACATTGTGCATCATCTGAGAACTCTATGGACGTATACATATGTGGTTCGAACTCAAGGTTGAAAAAAAGATTTTATCGCACGCTTTACAGAAGAAAAATCACGGGACAGGTATTTTATGAAAAAGGTCTGGATTGGAAAA